AGGTTTCTGCTATGAGGTCAAATAACGAGGTTATACTTTTTTGTCAAAAAGTTAAAACTAGGTAATATTTTCCGCAACATCAAACATAATTCACATAAAGTAATTACAACAACGAGTTGTATTAAACATATGTACTTTGATGAAATCTTCGGACATATTATATATAACTAATTTTTTATACAACTTACATTTTAGAAATAAATATAAATATGTTTCCTTTACTCTGATGATTTTTAATGCTATGAAGATTTTTATGGACAGCTTCAAACAGTGATAAATGTATAGTCGTCCAGAGCAGTCAAATTAATACCTCAACAAAGAAAGTCATAATGGAGGTAATGTAAACCCCACCGCAGGGCCTAAGGTACTAGAGCGTAGGTAATTTATGGAGGGGTAAATATCCTTTGCCTCAAAGGGAGTTCGTAAACAATAATTCCCTCATTTTTAAACTTAAAGCGCAATATAAAATAGAACGTTGGAGCCTGTGGTCCGTTATAATTAGTCGTGCAAAATTGTAATTTGATAAGAAATAAACGTTAAAACAAACCACACCACAAAAGATGAAGTGAAATGGATAAAATCGTTGAGGCACTTAACAAACTTAAAGTAATTCGTTCATATTTTGGAAAATATGCTGTGAAAAATTTGGAGAAAACAAGTTATGCCTGGACTCATTGAATTCTGTCCCCATTATTAGAATTTGTTGGTGACTTTTTTAAACTCGAAGACACTGTACATTGGTCTTATTTTGGAGTATATTTTCATAATAGTAGAACATTCAGGTTAATTTTTTAATGGCTTTCATTAGATCTTTTTGACTGAAAATATACCCTATTTTCAAAATTTTTACTCTTATCAGTTACTTCAAAATTTGAAATCTTCCATTTAAGGTAACCAAAAATTTTAAAAAACTTCTTAAAAATTTTTTTTTAATACGGTTACGTCAAAGTTAACAGAACTCTTGCTCGTTTTGTAAGTACTAGGATTGAGTTTCTCCGTTTTAAGAAAGCAACATTTCAGAAAGTATGGTCTAAAAAATTTTGAAAACAAAATAAGATCATCGAGGCGTTAAAAAATTACTCTCAATTTTACCGAATTTTGCCTTTGTTTGGAGGAAATACTGTAGAAGGAACTTTATTAGATTTTTTTAGTTACTTTTGAAACTTGTAGACACATTATTGATCTTTTTTTGAATATAATTTCATAAGAGTAGAACATTAAGGCTAACTATTTTTTAGATGTTTTTGTCAAAACGGGCCTGATTTGATATATATACCCCATCAAATTTTAACTTTTATTAGCTTTATCAAAATTTGAAATCTGCCATAATAAAGATACCCAAGAATTTGCAAAACACTTAAAGTCTTTGCCATTTCTATTGAAACACCACCTGTTGAATTTGACCAAAAATTTAGCAATTGCTAATAGTTTTCGGTTGATTGACAACGGCTTTTAGTTAGAAAATTGTCTGAATATGAACGTTGCGAAATTTACGATCAACAAGTGGTGTTTCAATAGAAATGGCAAAGACATTAGTTTTTTTGTACTACTGAGTTTATTCTACTTATAGAAATGAAAATATTAGGCCCAAGTCAAATATCTCGTTCATTACATTTTTTTAGTTATTTTTAAATTCGAAGATAGGTTCGTTTTATTTTTGACTATTACTTCGTAATAATAGGACATTAAGGTTAAGATCTCTTTAGTCAAAAGGCATCTGATTTGATTTTTTTGAATCACAATTTATCACATTTTCTGTGTTAAAATGTGTTTATATACCTAATGTGTGCAATAATAATGCAACATAAAAATTTTTCTATACTCATCTTTGCTTGTGGATCGTGTAATATTAGTAAAAAGATTTCAGATAGAACCAAGTTGTTTTCACCACAAACCTTTACCGTAAAAGCCTTATTTATACGACATTTGCAACGTAATTGTTGTGTGTAACTTTTAAATCGCTGTATTAGGTAACATTTGAAATGCACTCTTTTATTACTCCTATTATATTTCTTTTGATGTGACTACATTTCCGTAAATATAAATGTAAAAAGTACGCCTTTTACACACACAATGTATTGTGATTACAAAAACCGTCACACCCTTGCAGCCTTTTAATTCTCATCATAAGAGTATTAAGAGTGTGACGTTTTTACAACCGCATCACCTCTACCTGACGTAAATCTGACATTTACCTTTAAAAGAATGTAGTTACGCCAGCATTTGGATGCGTAAAGCGAATGAGAGCAAATGGTACTATGACGGAACGATGTTCATCTGGAGCGGACATTACATTGTTGCGGTAATGTATACAGAATAAAACAAAAATCTCAAAATAAACAAGATTTAGATAATCGTAATACTCTGTAATTGCGGTTTTAAACAAGCTTTATAGCACTTTCAACATCCTAAAATTGTTTACAATGGCAACAATGACGTTTATGGTTTTTTAAATAAATAACAATTAAATTTCTGGTCAAAAAATTGTTTCCATGTAAACACAGAAATATTAGAAATCTGTTGTTGCTTAACTGCTTGTAATTTTCAGTACGGTAGAGAAAACAAGTTACATCATTTATTGACAAAAATAAATAAATAAATAATAAATAATGAAATTTGGAACACCTAGATATTAATTAATGAAGAACGTTATTTTTTTCTCAGAAATTCCGAGTGAAATTTTTTGTTCGCACTCTTTCTTGTCAACAATCCTTGAATCATAAAACTTTTCTTCTATTTTAAAAAAATATCCGTCACCATCTCTGAATTATTCTGTATATCCATGCACCATTACGATAACATTTTCCAAAAAATTGGGTGTTGTACAAGAACTCTAGTTTACCTGCAGTTTTTAATGAAAAATATAATATAATATTAACAAAAAAGACGTTCCAAAAGCATTCTTTAATAAAATAATAACAAAAAACATTTAAAAGGGAGTATTCTTATGCGAAACACTGGGGGTAATCACACTTCAAAAATTATACAAATTGTATTTCATTTAAAATATGGTCACTAATTTTTGGTATTTCGTTTTTGGTATCTGATATAAGATATTTACACAAAGCTCCCCTACTTTTGGAATATCAAATTAATTTTTTTGAGACTTGGAATTACCAACACAAAAAGGAACGGCCGAATATCAAATCACATATAAGACTTACGTACATTTACAACAGGGTTGACAAATAATATATAACAAACGTAATTTCTTATCAGAATTTCGGAGAAGTTAAAGAAGTGATTACCAAAAAAACCCGTAAATGAAGTGATTCATTTAGTTTCTTGAAACACCATGTGTAAGCTATTCTGAAAAAGAAAGTTACACACGTACATTATCGCATCCTATCATGTATTTTTTGTAAGGTTCTTTTATGAATTTTTTGAGATGACGTCATCAACTTTACTAGGGGTGAGAATGAAGTCATTGAATTTCGAATCGATGTGTCTTATCAGAATTCATGAAAACTTCATTATGCAACTTCTGAAACAAACTGTAAAGTTGATTACCCAAAGTCATGAGAAAACACATATATGCACATTTCAGTTGAGATTTGTATTTTGATTTGACCTCATCAATTTTTGGATTATTTTCCTATTCGTGATGAACTTAAAATCCTAGATCGGCGGAAATCGGATACTGGCGTTTTTGTATTTTACGACTTGTAAACAATTCGGCAATTTAATTTCAATTTTTTTATGGTACCTATGTACTTTGATTTTTCCGTTTTTATGTAGTTTTGTAACTTTTTGATAGCTAAATTCTGCAAAAACAAACGTAAAATCAGTAGACATTTATCAAAATGAGCTTGTAATGATACAATACTTCTCTTAGCTACCTGAGCTATCACTCTGGAAGTGAGACGGGGAAAATCGATCTACAATTCGGTCCACACATACAGGTAAGAACACTTCTTTGCGGAATCTACACATTTACAGTGATACGCAATGACTCTAATAAAAGTTGTAGCGGACGACGTGCTGAAACACAAGGTGCACATTTAGTGAATATAGAGATGGTCAAATATTCAGTAACAGTATAGAGGGTACAGAGTTTATATAATTCAGGGTGTCAGTGTGTCACGTCAGTAAAACGGGTTGCCTGGCAACAGGCGCGCTTAGCCCGGCCTATTTTCGGGCTGGATCGATCGACCGAGCGTCCTTTCTGTTGGGGTTAAAACCAGGCCCGGACTCCCTTTCTACCGACGGATGAAGATACACGTGACCTTGAACAGATTTCGATTATGGATTTTTTTTTATTTTGTTACTCACGTCTATTGTTGTTCATATATTATTATAGCAAACAACCGCAGAGTATTCCAAGTAGTAGATAGTTTTCAGGTATTGTGAATTAGACATGTGCACATGAAATATTAGTCGAGTAGTTGTAGTTTTTCTTCAAAAAGTGTAAAACGTTAAAATTGTCCCACCTGTTCGTGTTTTACGTTGCTTGAGATTTTTACGGTAGTATTTATTTATGTTCGCAGTTTCACAAATTGTACATTTTTTTAATTAAAACTGACAGTTAAAGAAACTACAAAAGCCAGTTTTACAAACTAAAATAAATTTCATCACATTACAAATTATTAAAACCGTACTATGTTGTCACCACATTTAAAATCGCACTGTTATAGTGAATTTTAATATATTGGGCCGACGTCCCGTCACGTTAAAGTAGATTAAGTGGTATGTCGAAGGAGGGATATTAACTCGAAGCTTCCTCATCTCAACCTGAGAGGTTATAGAAAAGCTAACAACAGTTCGAAAATTAAACCAATACGATATGACGCATAATTTTGTAAACAAATGTAAAAATAATAAATTACTAGATAAAAAATACACTTCCATTATAACTGTTGCTGAACGAATAAAACAAATTGATTAAATATTGTTTTGCCGATATCTACATAAAATATTATCTATTAAGTGGTGATAATACAAGGTTGATAAAACAAAACTAAAGTTATTTACAGAAAAGTTCTATAGTTTCCGAAGTACAATCAAACAAACCTAGTTTCCTTTTATTTTAAAGTCGAGGACCAAATTTAACGACAAAGTGGATTCCCACTAATTGCCTACATATGATTTGTCAAAATTTTGAAGCTTTAGCCACTGCATTTAAGTGTCAAAACAGAGTGATACAAGTGACAGATACAATGTAGATATGAACATTCACTTGACGTATAAGGGACACTATGGTGTTAACCTAAATTTTTACCCCACAGAATTGTAGTTAAAACCACGTCGATGTATAGCTTATGATACACGAATTTCCTGAAAACTTTAGAGCTTACATTATTTTAAAATAGGTATGTATAAATCTAATCTATTTTTACTGCAACCTAATAATCAGTAAATTTCAGGTATAGAAGCACGCTCTGGCATGCAATTTCGATGGGCACAGGTACTACATTCCCAAAATTTCAGGAAGCTGCGGTAAATTTTTAAAATAAATTGTTTTGAGTCACCCTGTACAAGTAGTTCAGATAAATATTGATTAGCGTTTTTCTATGGCTAATATAACCTTAAAACGTACAATATTGGAGAGCCGTACTACATTTGATAAAAAAAATCTATTTCCTAATTCATTGATTGTTTTGTGTCCCCCTATACAGGTAATATTAAAAACTATGAATCCATTGATAAACCACTAGTTACAATATTTTGCATATTTTAGACAGGTTTTATTCAGCAAAATTTTGAGACGACATCTTCAATTTTGTTGAGAGGGGGTAAACAGATACATTTACTCTACGAATTCACCCTATTTACGACAACCATAACATGTTTGCAAGACGTCAAAGCATTCGGTTTTGAAATTTCAAAGTAAAATTGTAAACTGTTATTATTCAATTGTAATTTCTTTTCCAAAAATTTGAATGTCTAGTGTAAAAATTCATAAACCACAAATACAGGAATGTCTTATTTTATAAAATTTCAATAATATCTACTATTGTAAACATTTGAAATGATGTCATCCATTGTTGGTCGGGATGATTAGACAATTTTTGGTTAGCGTTTTACCATCTACACGATATTCCTAACATACATATAAAATTTAACAATAATCGATGTGGTAGTTTCGGAAATTAGCTGTCTAATAAAAAGTGACACAGACGACAGAAGACAGACAGACAGGCAGACAAACAAACGGAAACGGGAAACCTACTTTTTCGTACCCTTGCGGTCATAAAACGTCGAGAAAACTTAAAAGCAGCAACTGGTCGGATAGACCCTATTAGCTTACGCTCAGGAAGTAAAAAAATAGACGGATCAATAAAGTACAAATATAGAAATGTATTATCATTCCATGAAATTTTAACAGAATTTACATAACAAAATTTTTAAATGACGTCAGCAAAGTATTGGTGGGGTTAATCAGACAAATTTTTGCTAGCGTTTTATACATGATTTTCTAAACATACTAAACATACGTCTAAAATTTCAAAAAATCGGTCTAATTTGCGGGAAGTATGTGACTAATAAAATGACCAACAAACGACATTCGCAAACGGGGTATATACTTTTTCATGTACTAGGAGATATGAAATGTCGAGAAAATATGAAGTTATTCCTCAAATGAACCACTTCACAATACTTCCCCAGCTTGAAAAAATCACACTACGAAAATAATAATAACTATAAACAAAACTAGGTTACTCCACCAATGTATTGTCATGTTAGACTTCTTGAATATTAATACTGTTAAAAAACCAAAAAGACCAAAAATCAAAAAAATTCTGAAATAGTATGTTGATAATAGAAAAATGGAATCAAATAATATTAAATAAAACGAATTTTTTCGTAAGTGACTATCTATTGTTTTGTAATTGTTTTTTCGTAAAATCTTAACATATTAATTAAATAAATGTTAAATACATCAATTTAGAGAAAAGAAAATTCTGTAGTAAAAAGCTCTTAACCAGAGTTGTTTTTGTTATTAAATTTCATGTTTTTAAATTATTTAAATGAATATAGTTGTGCATCTCACATTTCACAGATCATACCACAGATAACAGAATACAGATTTATGATACAGTGAAATTTTCCCATGTTTTACAGATTTGTATCTGGAACTTCTCGTCAATGATCACTATATAATTACATATATTGCTTTTTGATTAGCAACCAACTTGGAATCCTCCATATAAACTGTATTTTCTGCTTACAAAAGGAGACAAATATGAATATAGGACGTGTTTTTTGACGACGAAGTTTGATCAGGTTTCTCTTTATTGATTTAGAGTGGAGTTTGTTTGGTTGTGATATGTAGTTAAATAGTACGTTAATACAGAAAAAACGATCACACTTTTTCAAAATCGCCGCTGAAAAAGGTGCCATCAGGCTAATCTCACTAATCAAACAACTAACACAAAGTTGTTTCTGAAAAAGGCGAATCAAACGTGAAACGGCTATATTTCAACTTCTTTAAATAAATTAATATAGAAATTTTATGTTTAACTGAAGACAATATGATAAGTACATACTAAGTGACCTACATAAAAGCGTTTTCTAACAACAGTAATTTTTGATGGAGCTATCCCTGCCCTAGAGCATAACCGATTTAACTTCTACCATTACTATAAAATTAATAAATACATGTCATTGTATAATCAATGTTAGTCACACTTCAGCTAAATCTATACTTATATTTAGTACAACAAAAACTCTAAAAAATCAATGTTTTGAAAATGAAACAAAATTATTGATTTGAATTTTTTAACTGTGTTCTGTGTTCTAATTATATTAAATTTAGATTTAAAAAATAGCTGTATTTCTTTAGGTGTATCATTTTTCAAAGGGCGTTATATAGATCAATTTTCATTAAATAATCAACATTTATTGATTCAACATGACCTACTTCAAAAGAATAAGATTCAATAACACACCATGGTGCGCTGTGGTTATTATGCTAGGACATGGAGAGTTCTTGGTAGTTGCGTGTAAACTAATGCTTTGCCTTGGTACCAACTATAAATGCAAACCTATTGATTAACAGCAGAAAATCCGTTTTTTAACGCCAGGGTAGTGTTACAAATACGTATATATATATCTCACATATATATTAATAGTAATATTTCAATTTAATAGATGATTTACTTGTTTTTACTTCCGATACAATTATTACAATTAAAGAAAATCAGTTTGTTTGTGTTTTTTTTTTTAGTTGTAACTCATATCATTTACATGTTTCATAATTTATAAAAACTCTTAATTCATAGGAAATTAAAACACATTTCGTGACATTTGTATTCATCGAAATAAATTTTCCATGTAAGAACACACAATTTTTTTAATGTAACACAATGCAAGCAATATCATCATATCTAGATGTGAAATCATGTGCCTTCACGAAATTCAATTGATAACGCATAACTTATGTGTAATTCTGTAATTTATACAGGAGGTGATTATAAAGCATTGTGTGTACATCAGCTGTCTTTGAAATTTCGTGAATTTTGCCGCTTCGTTGTAATGATCGATGACTACTACTCGTCGCTTGTCACAAATGTCAGTCATAACCTAACTTTTGTAAATGTGTGAATGTGCTTGCAGAAAAATGGAGGCCATTTTGAACAGTTCTTGTAGGAATATCTGACTGAATACAACTAATAATGTAATGCTGAGGCGGTATTATTTTTAGTCTTCGATAAACTGTTTCGCGAAAAAAGGAAGCGAGAAATTCTCATTAAAGATGTAGTGATAGATTTTTACAAACCACTTGATGTACGATGTTTTATAACCACCTGTATAAGGTTTGCACGCGTACGATTTTCTATTCAAGGAGCACTCGATTGTGAATTTTTTGGTAACAGAAATAATGAAAATCCTAATGTCACTTTTCAACAGGATTATTTTCGGCACTGTGTGTTTATAATTATTTAATCTTGAACCTCAGTTAATTTATCCTCCTGTGCCAAAACATGAAAACATATTTTTCTAACGTATTTATTTTAAAGAAAAACTGAGATAATCGGTTGCTATAGTCAAGTCTTACATTTTAAAAATATGTAATTTGTTGTGGAAAATTACTGAAGCAATATTTTGATAGCATAACTAAGTAAGAGAGTAAAAATTATGACACTAATTTGTAGGAAAGAAAATTATATTCTGTTGTTTCATAACCTCACGTTTTAATTGTTACTCCTACTTATTAATTCATATTGTTATTTAAAAGACAATTTAAGTTCAGAAACTAGTGAAACTTTTCCATGTTTGTAACTTTTTTTACTACAAAAATCTCACGTTCATATCGGACAATTAGTTTATAACATTTCATACAAAACGGGTTGTTTGTTGTTAGAGATTTATCGTGTTTTCGTGTAAAGAATTCAACAAAAACTAGAAGCAACGCATAAAATGTATCAACTGATTTAAATTGTTATGAATTCATCAGCCCTATCTATTATATTTAAATTGCAAAATTACTAATAAGCAGTAATAAATATTTATGTTTTAAGACAACAGCTGCTTTAGAACTTTTTTGTTTGATTTTTGGGATGGCCTTGTCTGCTGTCACTGCATTCAATGTGTTGAATAAAAAAAACTTTTGTCAGTGCAAAAAATTACAATTATTTCAAAAGTTAGTTGTTAAAGTGGATCTATAACAAAAAAACAGAGTCGCCGTTGGCTGCGAAACGTACATAAGAAGGTGGATGTTTTTATTATTAATTGTTTTGCAAGTAATGTTGTCGAACTGGTCTCGGTTATCTAGTAAAAAAGAAGTCTTCAAAAACTTCCAAGACATTATAGTGGAATTTTCCGCTATAAATATCGATGCTACATCGTTTCTTTTATTTTCTTTAATATGCATCAACATGTATAGTGAAAGTATAAATACCTAAAATGTTTTATTGAAAATGTATTCAGCATTTGATTTTTAGCTCTGTTACATAATTGCATAATGGAGCATTTTTTTAAACTCATTGACTATTTTTAATGTAGTGCATTTACATATTTAGAACCTTTGAATTTGTTTTGTGTAACTTCATTGTACGCCACTGGTACTTAATTAAATAGATATTTTATTAATAGATGACTAGTAGTGTGTTACTATTGTGAAATGCTGAAATAGTATTTTCTTTTCACTTGAATTATTCATTGTTTACTGTTGTGTTGCTTCAGTAACTTTCATTATCGAATTGAAAAGACATTATTTCTTTAACCAAGCGCATCGAGTTAACAAAAATCGGAATTTAAGCTCAGCATATACTAATAGTAAAACAAACACGTTCACAAAATACCCAATTATTCAAAGCAGAAATCCTAAAACTAATAACAATTGATAAAAAATATTAATGCGAATGGTGAGTAAGAGAGGTTATCAATATCATATTCCGGTCCGTTTAGTGTTAAAGACGTTAGCAGGAACGATTTGAGTTGTGTACACGTAATATTCGCGGAATGGGACCTTGAAAAGTGTTCCGGCTGAAACAGCTGCTTTCCCGCCAAAACCAGATGTTATGATTGGCTGTCAGGTATAAGCTTTCAATAAATATGCAAACAGATTCTGATGTAACCGCGAGCATCACACTGATAATAACGACAAAAAACACGCTATGGATCTGATGAACGCTTTTGGCGCGAAATCTATCAAAGGAAAGTTTTAGAGTTAATTTATACATTTACGTTCCAGGTTGCGATGGAAATCTCTCAGAATATGACGAAACATGAATTTAATTGTAGTTCAAGGGAAATAAATGAATAATAAATTCTCAGAGGAAACATTATCTGTATCCTGTTTTTAGATATTTAGGTTGTAACGATGGATATTCAAAATTACATGTTATGGCAGGTATTTGTATGCATGAAATGTTTACTCCTAATTTATGACACGGTTTATTTACAGAGCAGCAAAAATTGCTACATTTTTAACTTAATTAAACAATTAAATTAAACTGATTATCGTAACTGATAAAAACTAAACACGTCTGAGAATAAGTTTATGACACGGAATATCTATTTGTCATCGATGGTGAGTCATTCGACAACAAAAAAGAATCGCGCTGTGTCAACCGTCGTTTTATTATGTTTTTTTTTAGTGTACCGGCGGCGGTTGGTGTCGTTAAGGAGGTAGAATCGGCAGCGTGGCTAGCCTCTGTTAAAAATTAGAAATTAATCAAAACTGTTGATTACTAAAAAATTATTAATATATGCATAAATTAATTTATAAATGCTGATCAAGTTGGCTATGACTATGACAATTAAAATTTAACAAATAAAATCTATTTCACTACCTTTCTCCATTAAAATATTTGACTTAAGCTGTAGCTATCTAATGGAAATTTATAACCATTTTATATGCTAAACAATGAACGAGATAGTATTTATATAGGGTGATTCAGATGAACTTGAATCAAGCAGGTATTGTAAGCTATGTTATGACGCCTCGTTTATTTAAGACATGTACTTGATTATATATTCAACTGAGTCACCCAGTATAGGCATGTAACGCAAAAATATTAGAATATATACATTATAAATTATAAATTTCAAAAGTTTTGTTTGCTGAAAACTCAAAATTCTGTTTTTATTACCAGAATTTACCTCGTTTAACATAATCATAATAACAAACAAGACTTTTGATATATTTTGAAGATTAGATTAGATATTAAAAACAACAGATTAGATATAAACTAATATAGGTATGTACCTACTACAACATATGAAATCTATTTCTCACTTTTAAACGACAGCCCGTAAGCCTCTTTTTACAATATTTTCTCGACAGAATGAGAAAAGCCGTTCTAAGTATGTAAAGTGCGTTTTTTTTTTGTTGGTAATATAGAATTTCCCCTATACATCTAGTAATTTTTGTGCAGTGTCACTAGCGGAGCTACAGACTGTTCATGACACCTCTGTCAAGTCAAAACAGAATTTTACGTAAGAGCCAAGAAAATTCAAAATTTAAACATGCCTCGCAAAGAAAATGGGTTTCGTTTTGAAGACCTGGGCTCATGAAAGTGTTCCAATAAGAGATTTTAAAGTAAGAAAACTAGAAGTTGCCAAGTTTAAAGATGTCACAAAATAAGCAACTTTGTTTTCGTTTTACAATAAAAATTTATTTAACTTTAATAAAAAGTATTTAATATAAGGTGAGTTAAAGATGTGGAATTAATTGAGTGTAAGTCCAGGTTGCAAAGTTTATGGAAACGGGTTTAGTTGTAGCTTCGTTCATAAAATTGAAGGGAGATACATAGTTGTTATAATTTATAAAATAAGAAGGGACACTTATGAATAAAATCTGTGGCATCTTGTTTTTGACAAGCTTGTGCGCACTTTACAAATATTCTCAAAGGTGGCGTTCGATTCGACAACTAAATAACGTCAACAATGAAGCCTTAGAAAAAATATATATAAAACGCGAAAAACAATAATTCTTATGTTCAAAATTTTTTTAAAGAGAATACACCAATGAAATCATAAACCGATCTCTCCGATATTACGTGTCTTGCCACTATATTACTGTTACATTATGTAAAAGTAACTAAATTTTAAGTTATGAAAATAGAAAAGGTGCAACGTATATTGTGTGGAAAAGAAACAGATTACAGTAAAACCTAAACAAATCTGAATCACGAAAGAAATCAAAAAAGACGTATCATAATAATAATTTAATGAATTCAGTTACTTTGAGTAAAATTTTTGTAACCTAATACATATTTGAAATAGAGACACAAAAAGGCAAAAATTAAAATTAAATTGATTTTTACTACGATTTAAACTTTAGGTCTGTTTATTAATCAATCTCTCTAACTGTGACATGAAACGTCCCTTTCAACCTTCCCTTTCTTGTTTGCTGTACCTTCTTTTCGGAACTTTATTTGCGGATTTAATAAAAAATGGCATTTCCATTAGCCAAAAATCGTTTATGAATTATATAGGATTGAGTCGTATTTTAAAAATGGCCAGAAGGTAAACGGTGTGTGAGAGTACTCGATTCAAGCTGCTTAGGATGAATTCCGGTAAGACTCATTAGAACAATGTGTGACGAAGTTCCGAGAAACATCGCCCCTACCAAGAAAGAAGTGGCAAATCAAAAGATAAGAGAACTCCAGAAATAGGTATTGCAAATGTTAGACAAGTAATGGAACAGACCACTACAACTTCCATACAACATTAGCACAAATCACATGGAGCCTGCGGATCAATATTACTGTGAGACTCCCCTTCATCCTCAAAAAATGGGTGTTTGGGCTGCAATTAGTCAACGACAGATAATAGGATTATTTGAAGGTAATCATATAAATAACTGGTTTAATCAATGTAATCTTCTTCAAAGTAACCTAACTGCTACTAGATATCACCAGAAAATTTTGACAGATTTTATTCCACAATTTCACAACGATGAAATAGAAATAGGTTATTTTCAGCAAAACTTTTTTAACAATTGGATCATTAGTCGAAATACAGAGAATATCTGGCCACTAAGATCTTGTGATATTACTCCTGCATGGATTGAGGTTGAGTCGAGCTGCTAAAATGGATTTAGAGGTTCTTAGAGACAAAATTGAATTGGATCCTACACGATGTACTCCTCAGTAATTATTGTCTAACATATTTTTATTATTTTAATTATTAACCATATGGTTCACAACATTTTTATTTAGGGTAAGCTGTGATCAGCGCACATCTGTCATGGCAGAGCTAATGTTTACTGGAAAGAAATAGAATAAGCGTGCGTGTATTAATCTCAGCCTACCTTAAATACAAATTTTGTGGATCATATGATATTTTTATTATTACACATTATTAAAAGTATTATTGTAAATTGCCAACAGATTTTACATACAATTATAAGCCAAGTATATTAAGAGTAAAATATTAATATTAGGAGTATCTATTACAGTCAAGTAGCTACAAGTTATTACTTGTCCGAATTGTCGGAGATAAATTTTCCAGTACTACAATGACTCTATTTAATGATCATATTTTATATTTCTCTAAACTGACGTATGTTGGTGTAGAAGATGTCAATATCAGTAGAAGAAAAAATATTGATCATCTGAGATAAGGGTAATATTTCCAGGCTATTAGTTTTTGCTGTTTCATGATGTAGTAAATAAAATTTCCTAATGTTGAAACTGGGAACGTTGAAATAGATTTTCGCTAGTAGGTCAGGACAGTCAATTTGATAATATAATTAACTACCTATCTACTACTATCTACTATACTACTACCTACTATCAATAACTTTGCAAAAGCTTTTGAATCGTTGCTTTACAAACCTATTTCCTTCCATATGGTTCATCAACTGTCGTCCAAACAACACGGATTTGTCAAAGGAAAATCTACTGTTACTAATCTTTGTTCTTTTACGGATTATGCATCACATGCCCTTGACAACCGTTTACAGGTTGATACAATTTACTTTGACTTCTCTAAGGCTTTTGATGCGGTACAACATTCTTTGCTTTTACATAAGCTACATGTCTTTGGTTTGTCTGCTGATTTGATTGAGCTTGTTCGTTCCTACCTGCAGGGTAGGAAAAACTATGTTGAGTATCAAGGTGTCAAGTCTCGGATATACGAACCTCCGACTGGAGTTCCACAGGGGTCAATGCTTGGTCCCTTGTTGTTTTGTGTTTTTATTGATGATGTTGTGCAGAGTCTTTCTTCTTCTAATTATTTACTTTATGCGGACGATTTAAAAATATATCGAACGATTGAATCGGCAAGAGATTGTGAGTTACTTCAAACTGACCTTAACATGCTTTATCAGTGGTGTACTGCTAACAGTTTGGTACTAAATAAAGACAAGTGTAGGGTGATGACTTTCTCAAGAAAACAGGATACCATTGTTTACCAATATGCAATTAATCAAAAATCATTGAAACGTTGTGACATATTCAGAGATCTTGGTGTCATATTTGATTCCAAATTAACATTTAACAGTCATGTCGAAACGTTGTGCAAAGGGTGTTACAGTATTTTAGGCTTTCTTGCCAGAAATACGCGTGATCTCAATAATCAAGCACTTGTCAGTTTCTATAATGCTTACATTCGTAGCAAATTGGAGTATTGTTCTGTTGTTTGGAATCCATGCTATAAGAAATATGCTGATATGGTTGAAAGAGTGCAACGCAAATACCTAAAAATCTTGTATTATCGGAGGCATAGAAGCTTCGTTGAACATGGTTATCCTTATGATTTGTTATTGAATGAGTTTTCGTATGTATCTTTAAGCAATCGTAGGATTATGCATGAAATTGTATTTCTTGTAAAATTAATTAGATATGTAATTTCTGATGAGTACTTATTGGCATCAGTTAATTTACTAGTCCCAAGAATAAACAGTAGGATGAGGGACACATTTTATTTATCTGCAGCGAGTACGAACCATTATGCGCAGTCACCTATATTGTCTATGTGTAGAAGTACTAATAATTTATGTTCAGATGTTGACATTTTCACCATTAATTTAGGCAGACTAAAATCGGTCATTACAAATAATTTTTAGATGATTTGTTGAAGAGTTTATTATTTAGGAATCAATTTTATAATTATATTTTATTTATGTATTTTTAGTTTAATGTGGAATATAATATTTATCCTGTAATTGTGTAGTGTAAAGCTACTGTTGGATAAATAAATATTATTATTATTATTATTATTATTACCTCATGAAGGAATTTTAAGTAGAAGTATCTGCGTCTACAAACTAGCCAAAGTTGAAAGCTGAACATTTTCTAGGAGACTGTTATGAGGGTACCCTCGAGGTGAGTACTCTCCAGTCATTAAAAAGGTGAGACTTTTTCAAAAGCGTCGTTGTACCTTCTCAACTGCTGCAACGTGTACATACATCATAAATGGGAGACCATACAACACAGGCATATTCGAGTTTCGGTCTTACAAGTGCTTTGTACAGGATTAAGAGTACTTCGGAATCATTAAAACATTTCAAGTTACGTAATATAAACCCTAAAGTTTTATACGCTGCCGAGGTTATAGATTCTACATGTTGCGTAAATGATAACTTCCAGTCAAATGTCACACCGAGATCTTTGTAGACACCCGATTTTTTTATAACTTTATTATTAATCATGTAGTTGTACCTCGTTACGTTGGTGATGTTTCTTGAAAAAGATACTACACAACATTTGTCTGGATTAAGAAAGAGATTGCTTTTAGAACATCTGGTCTATATAGTGTCAATATTAGCTTGCAGTGTATGGCAGAAATTTTCATTCATAATTGGTAGAAATAATTTAAGATCAT